CTGACTATTCCCCTCTACATATCTAGTTTGAAAGCCAAAGTGAAAGTATTTATTCATGTGTAATGTCTCTTGGACAAGTAGACCTGATGGAGCATCCCTCTTAAACCACAGCTAATGTCCTTCAACTTAAAGCCTTGCCTTGGTCACTTGGCCATTGATTCTATCATTGGAAACCCTTCATCTTAGCCGTTGACTTCAGTTTAGGAAGCCCTCTACTCAGCAATGCCATGCCAATACCACACTGGCTGCATATATATTTATAGAGCTGAGCCTCCCCTATTGTGCTAGACAGATGTTGCACTTACAAGAAGGTTCATTCACTCTTTAACAAGTCTTGAAGAAGTAACATTTTAGAAACTTTTTAGTTAATACCTGCAATTGGACAGGCCAAACAATTGGCTCAGTCTGATAGAGAAAAAAAAAACCTGTACAAATCTGTAACCTGAAACCATTAGCTATTTCAAATCATGAAGATATTCACTATCCCTCCCATCTGGTAGACAGTATCTCTGAAACTCAGACTTTGCCAAACAATTTCTGTGGAAATCTGGCTCTGAACTTGACCTTAATCATTCCTTTTTCAGCATGTTTGCTTTTCTCTTGACACATGCTTATAAACACGTAGATTATAACTAATACACAAGCACATCTTCATGTATTTTCATATACACATGTACATTTAATCAAACATGCACATAAAAATTTAAAAAATCTTCAATATCCTTTATTAAAAATGTTCTAAAGTTCTTATATTCTATATTTTCTTTGCCTTTGTTTAATATTTATCTTGAATATATTTATGAAGCATTATGGGTCTTCCATAAATGATCACTAATAGGCCCTGGTGCACCACTTAACCTTCTTCCCCCTCTAACTGGGCCCTGATCCCACATATGTATTCCAGACATGTTACCTTTTGACTATTGCTTTATGCAACCCTTTTTACCTGGTCGGTAATTGCAACATGTTCAAGAAAATAGAAAATGCCTGAAAGAATTCATTGAATCAAAATGAGAATCATTCTTTATGATAGGATACACAATTTATCTTCTTTTTGTTTAACATGTCATGTACTTTCAGGAGGGGAGTGATCATGGCTCTCTACAACTTCATATAAATCCATGGAAACTACTTTGATGCTATGAATTTATAGAAATAAATGCTTTTGTTAAATGCTAGAAAACTTTTGCATTATATTTATTGATAATAGCTTTGTTTTTGTTTTTTTTTCTTGATAATTGAGTTGTTGATTTGAAATGTAATTGTTTACTTTCTTTTATTATTCTCATTTTTTATAAATTCTTTTCTTTCAGGATGTTGCAAATGGTGAGTTGTCTTCAATTTCTTTTCTTTTTTACATTTAATATTTAATCAAATCTAATTAAAGAAAAAGGATCAAGTTTAATAAGTTATACCTATTGTTGTTTTAGGGGGACAATTTCGTTGTCTTTCCTTTTTCACACACTTCTTGCTTTCCTTTTTTGTCTGTCCATCCATTCTGTCTGTCCAGTTGCTTGATACTTGATCAAGCCAGTATTTACCTGACCTCCCACAAGGCAAGATGTCACACAAGGCTGATTTTTATGTCGGGTAATCTGAGTCCTTAGGCTTGGGCAAAAATTCTCCGTAGACCCCACATAAACAGGGTTGGGTTTGTCTACCTTCTCAGATGAGACTTTGCCCTTTGGCATTGCTTCATCTGGGTTCCTTTCTGTCCAAAGGCAGAGAGTTTGACAAATAAGTCTTGATGCTTGATTAAGCCTCCCCACCAACTAATTTCTCATTGACTCATATAGACACTTTTCTACCCACAATTCCCTGTTTTTTCACTATCCATTATAATTATTGATAAGGCAGGTAACATCCATTATGACACAATTCTTTTACACCTATTTAAGCTCCTTATTTTTTATATGAAAGCCACCAGTTAATATTGGTATGAAAACTGCATGTTATTATTATTATTATTATTTGTTAAGTAAGAGAGTAGCACACCAACAAAGTAACACTGAGATACAACAATGTAACTATTATAGCACCCAGTTTGATAAGCATATCTCTGGCATATGCAGCATCACGGCCATATGTGCACAATATGGCGGCAGGTTTAGATAAAAGCATCAAAATAACATTGCAGGTGGGCCCAGTTAGAAATACCTTCAGGTTGGGTAACCAAATTTGGTCAGATGCTCCCTGACAGTGTGTGTTCCCAAGACATGACTTCCAAGTCGCCTTATCTTCCTCATCCTTTGAACTTAAAAAAAAAAAAACTCCTTTTGACACCTAGTTGTGATGTTCCCACACTATTCTCACTCATAGACAGAGATACACAATGTGTCAGCTCCTTAGGGGGCATGCCCAACTAGTTAAGATTTGGCAACTGACAAACTTCTGCAGGGCTGAATGGTTTATTTATTGTAACACATTTTAATCTACTAGGACAAATCATATACACATTAGCATATGAGCATGAGAAGTGTAAGCCATTATGGTTGTAGGTGCTCCACATGTACTGCAGCTGTAGCAGTAATAGTATGTCTAGGGTAAGACAGCCTGACAGAACCTATCCATTTTTATGCTGGTTTTGAATTAAAAATCTCCTAGACTGTCACCTCTTGGCCCAAGAGAGCACAGTAAGCCTTGTTCTTTAACATACTTCATACTTTTCTGAAGGGTCCAAAAGTAAATGCAAAGAATTTGGCCAAAATTCAAACTTGACTTGCTGATGTCTCATTCCTAGCCACTAACTGCTATGCTATCCACACATTAGTAGCTCCAATCAGTTAAGATCAGATACCATCTTAGCCATGCCTTATGTAGCATCAATGCATTAATATTATTATTTTTTTAAATTTATTATTGAGATATAAACACACTAAATTTCTTACATTATTTACACTATTTGGACAGTTATCATCATCTTCATTGCCATATTCATAACGTTTCAGCCATTGCACGCTCCAGCCTTCTTCAGGTGGTTAGAATTTCACCCAAACCAAAACTTGGAGATTTGAGCTAAAGGGAAATAACTGAGACATCCTGAAGAGGCATGGTGCATGGAACTAGAACAATCTACTCCAGTGGAAAAAATAAAGGTTTGGTTTGAAATTCCATGAAGATGAGGATAACAGTCTGAATAATGTAAATAATGTAAGTCCTCATAATATTTCATCTCAGAAATGTAGACAGACACTAAATTTCCTTAATTTTTCTAGTTTCTTGAAACATCAACTCATTTTCTTCCTAACTAAATAATGTAACATAAAGTCGGGTTTTGTCTACAAGATTTCACTTCAGTTTTTTCTATATTTGTCATCCTAATTGATACAGAAAAACACGACCTGACATTGATGTTCTCCTGCATCCAATTTTATCAAAATTTATCTGTTTGCTTACTATTTTTTTTATATTCCTGACCTACATTTTTGTTGATAGATTACAGACTGTGGATGAATCATTAAGTTTTCCCAGGCAAAATAAAAATGAAATTTAATTTTTTATCAAAGGAGGTTAGTTTTCATTACCTACTTTGAATCATCTTCATATTTAAATTACAGAAAGATATTTCTTTACAAATTTATTTCAACTCAAATCCCAAACCATTGAATTTTTTTTACCTGAACTTATTTTGCAAATAATGTTCTGAGAGAAAATCAATGACCATAAAATAGTCAACATAATAATAAACAATATTTGGCAAACTTGGACCTTTGTGCTCATAAAATACTGAGGTGTTAAAAGGACAGTTTTCCCCTTGACATTGCTATTATTTTAACTATCTTAACTCCTCAGCCCTGTTTATTGTTTTAAAAAGCAATGATTAGAATTGTAATAAAATTTAAGCATATGATGAAAGTGAATTTATACATTTTTTTTTCTTGAGAATTTACAATAAAAATAACAAGCACTATGTATTTATTAGATTGTTTATTGGAATGATTGGCAAAACATCAAAACAATTGATTCAATTTTTATAAAATGGTAAATAAGGATATCCTTATAGTTGGTTCACATATTTTAATAACTTAATAAATGTTATAAATTTATGAATAAAAAATTTTTTCCTATTTATTTTTTTTATAAATTAGTAAATAATAAATATTATTCTTGTAAATAAACAATCAAATAGTGTTTAATATTTTTGTTGTAAATTCTCAAGGATAAAAAGAATGTATATATTCAATTTCATCATGTTTAGCTATTATTACAATTCTAATCATTGCTTTTCAAAATAATAAATGTTGCTGGGCAGTGAAGGTAGTTAAAATAATAGCAATGTCAAAGGAAAAACCATCCTTTTCACAGTCTGGTTTCTTTTTTTGGGGCACAAAGGTTCAAGTTTGCCAAATATTCTATCAAATTTGAGTATATAAAAAAAACAGGTCTTCAACTCCCATAAACGATGCCAATTTATATGAAATTTTGCAACAGATATGATTGTTTCTCTCTGTTGTTTTGTATTTATTAAACTTTAGTGTGACACAAGGCCACAAAAGAAAGTGAGAATTCAATTCACTAGACTATTAATGATCTGCAGGACAAGCTTCCTAACCATTGGCCCATGGTGAGGTATTTGAAGTAATATAATCTTAGTCCAGGAAAATGTCATATATGAGGCGCAGTCAGATGATCATTTAATAGTAAGATTCTGTAATGATCATTTAGTAGTCATATCCTGGTGAGTGCTATACTGCGGAGAAATACTTTTATTGGTTGAGTCCATTAAAAGCATTGCTCTGCAGGATAGCACTCCTATTTTTATTTTAGGTTACTAAAAGACAGACTATTAATATTTGATATCGATTTTAAAATGTATGACTACAAGATGGAACCAAAGAACATTATTGACACAAATCTGGTTAATGTCACTTAAAACAAATTTATATTGTAAATTTTTGATAAAAAAATTCTCTTTTTATTTTGGAGTGAAGTTAATTTATTGCTATTTTACTGTGAAATATAAAAAAGAAACTAACTCATAATTCATAACAAATTAAAATGGCCATATCATGTTGAAATGCCAGATCACCGAAGTTAAGCAATGTTGAGCCTTGTCAGTACCTAGATGGGTGACTGCTTGGGAATACCAGGTGATATAAGCTTGGATGTGTGGGTGGTGTAGTAGATAATGGCTTGAAATTAGAAAGCAGAGTTCCAATTCCAATCTGGTTCATTGTATTCATTTACATGCAAATACCCTTGTGAAAGTTAGGAATCTATCTTTTCTCCCCCTGGCTATGGGTTTATTAGTTGGTCTTGTATCAGTAAATCATTATTATTTCCAAAACATTTTTACAATCTAAAACTATTTTCTGGCTCTAAACAACCTGCAAAAGGTTGATAAATCATAAAAAAACAAATCACAAGTTAATCAACAACTTTCATATGTTATTTAAATTTATTGTTCAAAGATTAGACTCTTGAAGCAAAATAATGTTCACTGAGAATTAATTTTTGTTAGATTTTCCTGTGTATGTTTTTTTTAAAAAAGATGTTAGTTCAGCACATACTCTCTAAAATTACTTGTTCTCAGTTTAATAACATTTTTTAATAAATTGTGATTGATTTTATTTGAATATGATTTTTTATTGAAATAAATGAAAAAAAATAATTAAAATAATTCTTGTCAGTTAATTCTTTAGAAAGTCTTTTTTAATAAATAAAAAAGCAATAAATATTAAATATCTTTATTTTATGTCAGGATGACTCCACTTTTATGATTTTTTTTTTGTACTGGGCTATCACTTGATGTTGGGTCAGGGATTTTAAAAATTCTCTTGTGTTTTGGTAAAGATTTAGGATTTTTTTTAGTTTGCTTTATTTTTAAAAAAAATTTTAACAAATTAACTCTTGAAAATTTTTCACCAATTATTTTAATAAAAATAATGAGAAAATCAGTCTTTATCTGCCTTTGAGGCAGTTAAAAATCGATTGATTTGCTAAAATAAAAATTCTATAATTTTAATTTGTCTCTGACTTCAAGACATTCTCCTCGTGTAAAATGACATTAATTGCTTTACTTGTTTTTAAATGCTTCAGATATCAAATACATAATTACCTGCAGATTGCAGAGATACTCAACAACCTTGGTTTTTAGAATCATTTTTTTAATTTTCCTTTCTATATACCTGCATAAGCACACAAAAATTGTATATACAAACTTAAAAATTATTTAAAAAATACTTCTGGACAAAATATTTAACAAATTTACTCCCAAAGGAGCGTTCGGTAGGCAAGGTCGAATTTACTGCTTATAAACTTCAATCTTGCCTACCGAATGCTCCTTTGTGGCCGAGATGGTAAGGCACGTCAGCGTAAATGACGGTTCCGTATAGGATGCAGGTTCGAATCCTGTCAAAGGACGAATATTTTCTATGAAAATTTCTCGGACATTCAGGCCGGTAAATGTTATTTAATACTTTTTATTATAAACAGAGCATTTACTTAAATACTTGTATCTATAAAAAAGAACGTTAAACATAAAAAATGTCTTTAATAAATAAATTGTCGGACTTTGTCCATTTCTTAATATATATATATATATATATATATATATATATATATATATATATATATATCATCTTAGTGTTTCTCTATGTATGGGAAAATTGCACCCTAAAGATGATAATTTGAAATTGTTGAAAGTATTTGGTGTGTGTCTTCCATCTGATAACAACTCGAATATAAGGATCAAGGAATTGATAGTAAGTTAATGTCTCATTAATTCTTGTTAGCAAAGTGATTTCGCCATTAATCACATTAAGATTGCTAATTAATTCTTTGTATAAATTGTTTCTTTATGATATAAAATATAAGCTGCACACTCTAATACAGAAGTAGGCAAACATTTCAGTGCAAGGGCCACATTCAAAAATTCACAATTTTATTGGGCCACATAGTATATTAACCCAAAATTAATATTTATATAGACAAAAAAAGGCTTTTAAAGAAAAAAATGCAATTAATTTTTATTAATTATTATTTTAAAGTACTGTAGATGATTCACATTTATTTGAAAGACAAAGTAATTCCGTTTAAATTACTTTAAAGAAAAAAATATTAATAAGTATTTTTAAGTTGAAGATTTACATGAAACGCATTTGAAAAACAAATTAACTTTGTGTAAAGAAATAAAAAAATTCTTACTAATATTTTAAAGTAGAAACTTCAAATAAAACACATATAAATTAAATAAATTTAAAGAAAAAAATTAATTTAGAATTTAAAATTGAAATTTCACATGAAACACATTTGTTTGAAAACAAATTAATTCAGTTTAAAGAAAAAAAATTTTATTGATATTTTGAAGTAGTAACTTCACATGAAACAGATTTATTTGAAAAACAAAATACCTCAGCAACAGAAGGATCTCAATGACTGCATTCATTTATCATTTTGTTAAAAAAAGATGTCAGGTTGCTTGTAACATGTATTTGGTATTGCTTGGTAACTTTCAAATTTACTAACATTTGGCCAGAGACATTAATTCTTTTGGCAGGCTACATGTGGCCATAGTTTGCCCACCCCTGTGTCAATATATTTATGAAATAAAACCCGCAGAACATAATAATCAGAATATTAAATTCTGTGGAAAACTACTAAAACATTTTTACTCTACTACTTGGTTTATACTTGGTCCATGTCACTTTAACAGTTAAATATATATAACAAGAAAATTTTGTGGATTTATCAATTTTGAAATTCAAACAAAATTTTCACTTGATTGATTTGAACAAGAACTCTAGCATCACAGCATCGCACACTCCAAAGCATATATTTAACTGTCAATAAGTAGTATAATTCAAAAAACCCTCTTTCAGTTTACATATATTTCACCTTAGTGTTTATTAAGCAATAATCTTTTAGTTTAGTAAGCTAATTTTTAGCTTCTTCAAGCCTACTTTCTATAAATATTCTTGGTGTTAAGTTAGTTTTTTCAGTTTTTTCATAAACCTTTAACCAGGGTCTGTTGTTAACACACACACACACACACACATATATATATATATATATATATATATATCATCTTAGTGTTTTCCTATGTATAGGAAAATTGTGCCCTGAAGATGACAATTTGAAATTGTCAAAAGTACTTAGCATATGTGTTCCATCTAACAACAACTTGAACATAAGGATCTTATTATTTAATGAATTGATAGTAAGTTAATGTCGCATTAAGTCTTGTTAGTGAAGTGATTTCACCATTAATCACATTATGGTTGCTAAATCATTCTTTGTATAAATTGTTCTTTATGATATATATATATTATTTTTTGTGGATTCTAGTGGCATTCCATTTATTTATTAAACAGTATATTTATTTAATTTTATCTACGTGCCTGAATATTCAAGAAATTTTATTAAAGAAAATTTTGTGCTCTTTGACAGGAATCAAACATGCGTTTCTCAGGGAAGTTGGAGCTACCGTTTAGCCTTGTTTGCCTTATCACTTGGCCATGAAGAAACATTCAGACAAAGTCAACTTCATGGTTTTCAAATGATATTTTTCTTATCATAGATTTCTCAAAGTTTTTTCATATCTGTACATAGTTTTGTGTCCAAATGTAAAAAAAAAGAGTATTTTTTAGATCCAACAGATTTGTATCATATTAAACAGTATTTTTAGTAGATAATCCTTTTTGAGTAGGCACTTCATTTATTTATTTATTAAACAGTATATTTATTCATAAGATTTCTTGAATATTCAGGCCAGTAGAAAAAAATGAAGAGAAAGATTAAGATGAAGCAAACAAATATGAAGACATCTGTAGCCTGCAGTTTTGCTTAGTTACAGTATCTGAGTGGGAGCATATATGACGTGATCAGTCATTGAACAAGGCAAGTGCTAGCACAACCATCAATGGTTCTGCATGCTAGGATTGTCTCCTTGGGTAGATATTATCAAGAAGTCACCTCCTTGACAAATTTGAACCTGGTGAGAATTTGAACCAAATTTGGATAATGATAATGAATTTATGAGCAGTTGGACTGAAATGTTTTTTGGTTACTCAAGCCTTTATAAAAAGAAATCAGCATTTGTTTTTTGTTTACTATAAAAAGGTGGGCACTCAAGTTAATTTAATTTTTGTTTTGAGTGTATGAAAGGGTAAAAAATAGTTCTGGGAAAGGAAAGACTTAATTTAATTAGTTAAAATTTTGTCAGAAATATTTTAAGTAGAGAAAGTAGGTCTTAAAGAAAACAAAGAACTTTTCAGCTGCCCTTTGTAAATCAATTTTGGATATATTAAATCAGTGTCAGGCCAAGAACTTTAGCAGTGGAATTATAATCTACCACTTGATAATTCAGTGTTTCAAATAAGACAGTAATAATTCTTGATAATTCAATTTTCAAAGTCATAGTAACAATTTTGAAGGTTTAGAATGATTTAACCCATTAGGGAAATATTATATCTATTGTAGACAGGTCAAAACCTAACATCAAATGTTTAATTTATTATTCCTCATGAACAGGTCTTCTTTCCCTGTTGGTCTCACTCATACACTGCTGACTACACAGAATATAGAAATAAGTATAAATATGGCTGCATCATTCAACTGTCATGTTTTGATAGGGTAATTTGTAGTTACAGTGATATACTAATTTAAATATTAGAGTGGAAACCACAAAAAGTTTTCTCTTAGAAAGAACCGGGGTTTCATTATATCAGTCTGTATGTTAACAATTACTTGATTATAGATTATAATACAAGACCTTACAATATCAGCATTACAAGTTTTTATTTGTTTCTACTGATAAACACACTATTTATTAAAATCTCTCTCGGAGAAATAATTATAGTAATATGGAATATATTCTATAAAGTTCACCACCATTACGTTCTAATACCACTTGGCTATGCACTCAATACTTCATAAATAGATTTGTATGAAAGATGAAGAAAATTCAAAAACTAGGTGAGTAATAAGCAGCAAATAAAGGAAGGAAGGAAGGAATGATTATAGAAAGGATTGATAAAAAGATGAAAGTTATTAAAATCGTGCATAATATTTTCATAAAAACTTTTGAATTAACGATAAAGTAATTCATGTTTATGAAATGATAATTTAGTTGCATTATTTCTGATAAATGTTGTT